CCCAAACCCACTCAGCGCATCCTGTACCTGGCGGGAGTCCGGGGAGTCGGAATCCGGACGCTTCCAGCTGGGCCTGGCCAGGGCAGCCACCACCAGCACTCCAAAAATGAGGATGAGGAGCCCCAGGGTGTTGGCAAACACGGCCTCAGCCGGCAGGAGCTTGTACGCCATGGTCCCGTTCTTCCTGGAGTGGGGAAGAGAGGCTGGGAATGTTCTGGATATTCCCAAACTCCCCTCCCTAGACCTTGCAGGGAAGTGTGCAGAGAGCCACACACCTGAGGAAGTGCTCAGTTCCCTTTGCTCTGCGCCGATCCCTCCCAGAGCCAGCCCAAATCCACATCCTGAGCCCCCTCCCATTATCCCTGTGAGGGATCTTCCCAAGCCCACCCCACCCCTGCCCCTGACTCACAGGCTGAAGAAAAGCTTCTCGTTGATTCCTGACACGCAGGAAGCCACGGACAACATGAGGATGGTGGAGCCAAAGAAAACATGGATGGGCTTGTAGAGTGCCCGGAGCCAGGTGGGAGCCCAGGGAAGCAGGAACGCTCCAAAACCCGCTGCCCACTGTGGGAAGAGAACGTGAGGGTGGAAAACTCGGGATGTCAGAGGGTTTGGGGGATGCAGGAGGGATTCCCACCTGGCAGGAGAAGAGCAGGACAGTTCCCAGCCCCATCCAGCTGTGCAGTGAGTACATGTTGGGCGTCCCTTGGGAATTATGGAAGCAGAACACAGCCGCCAGCCCCAGCACGGTCAGGACGAACGCTCCCAAAGCCAAGCTGCCGTGCAGCACCTTCCAGGGAAGCTTGGGGCCGCTCCACGTGTGGGGAATGCGGTAAACCAGGGCGGCTGTGAGAAGGAAAAAATGTCAGTAAGGAGCCGTGGCGGGATCCCCGCGCTCCCTCTGCTCACCTGCGCCGTAGAGCACCACCAAGCCCGTCACCATCAGCACTGGGTGCCAGTTGAACGTCCGGGAGCTGCCATCCAGGGAAAAGCCCCCGCGCCAGTGCTGGCACCAGGTGCCCACCATGGCCACGCAGAGCAATCCCAGCGCTCCCAGGAAGGCACAGAAGGGCAGGAAGGGCACGTCCAGCATGGCCGGGGAGCGGTGGTGGCACCTGTGGGTGAGCAAGGAGCCGGCTCAGTCTCCGGATGCGGTCCCAGGGAGGAGCCACGGAAAGGGGAACTGGGAACCCCAAAAGGGTGTGGGTGGGCCAGCTGTTTCCCAGCCTGGGGAAGGTGACAGGGATGGAGCTGCTTCCCAGCCACGGATGGTGGCCCAGCTGCTTCCCAGTCTGGGAATGGTGGCAGGGATGGATCCAGGATGGTGGCACCTGGGGATGATCAGGGTGCCTTTTGGGGCTTTCCGACGTTGCCAGGAGGAAACACAGAAAGGGGAACTGGGAACGCTGAGGGGGTGACCAGAGTCCAGCTGTGCCCTGGACTGGGAAGGAGGCCAGCGATGGAACAGGATGTGCAGAGCAGAATTCCTGGGAACAGCACCCCAGGGAATGGCAGCGAGGGGCTCTCGGTGTCAGCTGTCATGGTCCCCCTGGCAGGAACGCGACCGCTCTCATTTGCATGTGATTTGCATGTGCCCCCAGAAATGGGTATTTCTGTCCCCTCTGGGGACGGGGGATGTCCCGACACCCTCAAATCAGCTGCCTCACGGGACATAGCAACAGGAAAGGGGTGGAGACACGCGGCCCTATGGTTCCCCAAAATGTGGGACACAGAGACTCACGGATCTCCCAAGTCTGGGGTACTCGGTGCCATGGCTCCCCGGAATCTGGGAACACGTGGCTCCACAGCCCCCCCCAAACCTGAGGCTCCCCTGGACCTGGAACAAAACGCCCGGCCCTGACACCACCCAAACCCCAGAGCACGGGCTCCCTCGGCCCCTCCCAACCCCGGAGCCGCCCACCGCCTCTCCCAATCCCGGGGCTGTACCTGGGCCCTACCGCCCCCTCCTCGTCACTGGGCGCCGCCATCTTGGCGAGCGCCGCTCTGCCTGCTCATCTCTATGGTTTTCCCGCGCACCCCAATGTGCTGCCACAGAGGGGAGCGGCGGCCAGAGCGGCCCCGCGGGTCCTCCAGCCTCCACTTCCGCCTTCGCTTCCGGCTCTGGCGGCCGTTTCCATGGGGACCAAGATGGCGGCGGCGGGTGAGCGCCCGGGGCGGGGGTATGGCGGGGACCCAGCGGCACCCCCGGGACCGGGACCTCCGGCACCCAGCGGGGTTTGGGCGTATCGGGGGAGGCGGCCCCGGGAGCGGGAAGGGGGGCAGGGACGGAAGGAGAGGCGGGCGAGAGGGGGCCCGGGGGCTCCGCAGTGGTGGCTGTGGGAAGGGGCGGAGTGACGCGGGATCTGGAGGGGCAGAGAGTGATCTCTTCATCCCCATATCCAGCTCTTTACCTCCTCATGCCCATCAGTTTCTCGCTCCCATGACCAGCCTTTCTTCCCCCGCATTTCCAGCCACTTTCCGTCCTTGTCCGGCCCCTTTACCCCTGTCTGTCACCATGTCTGCCCCTCAGGGAATTCAGCCCCAAGCACAGCCCTTTTCCTGCCGGAACACGGGGGATCCCTGTCCCCTCCGGCCCTCTCCAGCCAGGATGATCCCTGAGGGGGCTATTCCCGTGGGATATGTGTCCCACGAGGGCTGTACCTGCTCCGGTGTCCCGTCTGTCTCTCCTGACTCCTCTCTCCCTGTGCCCAGAGTGGGACATGCCTAAACCTGCTCAGAACTGCCCATGGAGCTGGGAACAGCCAGGAATAACCTGCTTGGACACTGCTTCTTGGGACTGCACGTCTCACTCATCCCTGGATTTCCTCACATGGGGATTGGGGTGCATTTCAGGGGCAAGGAGGACACTGGAGGAGAGAGAGGACACAGCTCATTGGGTTTTCCTGGTTTCTGGGATCCATCCCAATTCCTGTGTTCCCCCTCCAGGTTTGGGATGTCGGGAGAGGCCCTGCTGAGCCCCCCCAGCGCCATGATCCGTTGGGAATGCTGGGGCTGAGGGCTCCAAGCCCCAGGAAGGAGGATGCTCCAGCCCAGCAACTACAGCCTGGTGCTGTTCCTGCAGTTCCTGCTGCTTTCCTACGACCTCTTTGTGAATTCTTTCTCGGAGCTGCTGCGCACAGCTCCGGCCGTGCAGCTCGTCCTCTTCATGTGAGTACAGGGAATGTGGGGAAAGTCCTGGAAGCAGATCCAGGAGACCCAGGACCCCACAATCCCTCTGTTCTCCCGGCAGCATCCAGGACATCGCCATCGTCTTCAACGTCATCATCGTCTTCCTCATGTTCTTCAACACCTATGTGTTCCAGGCGGGATTGGTCAACCTCCTGTTCCATAAATTCAAGGGAACCATCCTGCTCTCCGCAGCCTACCTGGCACTCAGCATCTCCTTCCACGTCTGGATTATGGTAGGATGGCATGGGCACAGCTGCTGGATTCTCCCAAAGGGTTTTTCCATGACCCCTAGCTTGCCACAGTCCTTTCTCATGGTCTTCCCCTGGAAGGTGTCCCATGGAAGATGTCCCATTCCATGACCCTGTGGTTGGCATCAGCCTGGAAGTGTTCTGCCCAATGCCAGCCTCATCCCAGCTCATTCCCTAAGGGCTGTGACCCATCAGAAAATCCTCTTTCCCCAGGGAAAGCCTGTGCTAGCAGCTCCTGTTTTTTCTGGGATTAATCCCTATACCTGGGGGCAGCCCCCTCCCTTCCCACAGCTCCAAGGGCTGTGCAGGCTCCTGGATCTGTCCTGGCAGCACCTTCCCCTTTTCTTTCCTGAATAAACTCCTTCCTAGCTCCTTCCCAATGGAGCAGTTCCCATCCCCTGGACACCTCCTGGAGTTCCCTCCATCCTGCTGCCCCGGAGCACAGGGAATGTTTGGGGGGTCAGGAGCCACAGCAGCTGCTCTGGTGCTGCCCACGCCGTCCAGGAAGGGGATTTGCAGGGATTTGCAGGGATCTGCAGTCTGAAGCCGGAATAGGTCCGGGCTCAATGCCTAAATCCCCTGAGCTGCTTAACCTTTGGGGTAGGGAGCTTCCCAAACTTCTCCAGGTGTAACTCCTGCCTTGATGTCCCTTAATCCTGCTCAGAACCTTTGGAATGGGGTGAGGGGTCTGGGAGGGCTCAACAAAACTGCTCCGGGGGTTACTCCCAGTTTTCCAACCCCCTCAGAACCTGCGCTGGCGTGACTCCAGCCGCTTCATCTGGACTGAAGGCCTTCAGACCCTGTTCGTTTTCCAGAGGCTGGGTAAGGACTCCAAGGATCAGGGTGGGATCCCACATCCTTTGGGGGTGCTGGGGGCCCTCTCTCATCCCGAAATTCCCTGCAGCGGCCGTGCTTTACTGCTACTTCTACAAGAGGACAGCTGTGCACCTGGGAGACCCCCTCTTCTACCAGGATTCACTCTGGCTCCGCAAGGAATTTGCCCACTTCCGTGGCTGATGGATCCCCTGGAGTCTCCTCGCACTCCACTGGCTCTGTCGGGGTCGGTTCTGGCTCATCCTTTCTCTGGGGTCCAGCCCTTGGGATTTTGGGAGTCAGCGGGAGGCTTGTGGGGCGTCCCTGCGTTTCAGGGCCACAGCCTTGGTTGGGACTGGAATATTTTTGGAAACTCTGAAGGAATAAATTGGATGTGTTTTCCAGAGGCTGCCGGGTGTTTGTGCCCACCCGGTGTGACTGCTGCACTCCTTACATTGTACCCCAGCTCGGCGCTGCGCCTGCAGCCGCCAAACGGGGACATTCCCGTGCTCCGGTGTGGGATTCCTGTCCCGATGGATACAGGGGGTGGGGTTAGGAGGGAGGGGGACTCGAACCCGCGCAGCAGCGCTCGGTCCTCCAACCATAGAGAGGTGCGGGTAGAGCGGCAGCGCGCGCTCCGCCAAACCACCGAGAGGGGCGTGCCATAGAGCGGCTCCGCCCTCACGCTCCGCGCCCTCGCCCTTGGCGCCCCCGTGCGGGCGAGCGCGGCGGCGGCGGTTCCCATGGAGATGGAAGATGGCGCCCAGGGGTAGGAGCAGGACCGGGGGGGGAAGCGGGGGATCCCGGAGGGTTACGGGGGGTACCGGGAGGAACCCGGGCTGGGAGCGGCGCTGGGAACGAGGCAGGGGGGCGGCCGAGGCGCTGCAGGGCTCCGGGGCCGCGCTGCCATGCCGGCCCCGTGCCCCCCCCTCATGGCCGCCCCGTGTCCCCTCAGACCGCCATCGCTCCTCGGCTCCGCTGCAGGTCCTGCTCTTCCTCAACGGCTGGTACTGCGCCACATATTTTCTCCTGGAAGCGTTCGTGTTCGTGTACAAAGGTGAGTCCTTCGCTCCAGAGCTCCTCTCGATCCCGCCGGGACGGGCGGGAATGTGGTGCTGAGGGCAGTGCTTTTCCTGCAGTGCTGCTCCTGCCCTATCCCGTCTCCAACTTGGTGTTGGACGTGGTGCTGCTCCTCCTCTACCTCGGCATTGAGGCCACACGCATCTTCTTCGGTGAGTGCCCCTGAATGCCAGAGGCTCCACACAGAGCGCAGAGTCCTGGGACACCCCCGAAGAACATCCCTGGATGTTCAGGTTGGACGGGGCAGGCAGCAACGTGGGCTAGAGGAGGGTGTCCCTGCCCACGGGAACGGGACATTTAATTTCCCCATCCCAAACCCTCCCATGATTTCCATGGTCTGATCCCAACTCTGTGTTCCACAGGCTCCAAGGGGAACCTGTGCCAGCGGAAGGTGCCGCTGTCCCTCAGCCTGGCACTTACAGTGCCGGCAGCTGTGCTGGCTGTGTACTACCTGCTGCTCCAGACATATTCCCTGCGCCTGGAAGCGTTCCTGAGCGCCATCCTGCTCCTCTTCTACGGCCTGGAGCTGCTCCTGGGCGTCCTGGCACTCCTCTCCTTCTCCAGGTGCCGCATCCCAGGAATTGGGGGAGTCGGCGCGGGAGCTGCCAGGTTGGTTTGGCACCCACACATCCCTGTCTCTGTCCTTTTCCACAGCACGGATCCCTACTGAGGACACGGCCCAGGGACACAGGGGAGCACCACCCGTGCCAGCTCCATTTCCCAGCCCCGGGAAGGGGGAGGATCCCTCCTTTCCCACTGCCCATTTCACCTGGTGCCACCTGGACATATCCCTCCTACATTTGTCACTTCTACGTGGACACATCCCTCCCATTTTTCCTTCTTCCCACTTCACCAGGGACCTGCTGCCACATATTCATCCCTCCCTTTTCCCACTTCACTCACTGCCCCCTGGACATATCCCTCCCACCTTTCCCACTCTCCAATCCTCTTGGACTCCTCAGAGCTTGAGCCAGCTCAAGGTATGAAGAATCCTTTTTTATTTCTACGACCTTCCACAATAATTCACTATTTTCCAATAAATATTTATTTTTACTTGGTGCCCAGGAATGTGGGTCCCCCTGGGAATGCTGAGGTGCTTCCAGCACCTCAGAGCCAGTTTGGGAAGCACAGGAACCCATTGGAGGAGGAAGAGGGTGAGGGACAATGGGTGCACAGACCTCTCCAAATCCCTCCCATTCCCTCATTATCCCAAATCCCGCCGTAGGAAGGCAACAGGAGCGCTGTGTAAAAGACTGACAACGTCATCTGAGTTTATTACACAATTCCAACCTATCCAAAGACAAATCTAATCACTGCGAGCAGGAGGGGCGGCGCCTCGCCGGGGCTTCCAGGGATTTGCTCTGCAATTTGAGGGGAATCTTTTCCCCCTTCCACTATTTGGAAAGAAACTAAAAATCTGTGGCGGTAAGTAAAAAAAAACCCGGAGCTCTCCTGCCGAGTGCTCCCACCTCGTGGGGCTTGGGAAAATCAGGGTGGTTTTTCCTGAATTTGGGTTATTTCAACTTAAAAAGACTTCCAGGGCCTGGGTTTTCCCACCTGAGTGTGATTCCAGCCCTGGAAGTCACCCAGTGTGTCCCGGCTCATCCTGACCCTCCTGGGCTCTCCCTCCCTCTCCTTCTTGGGATTCTGAGGGGACACAAGGGGGTCACAGCCTGCCCTGCCTCTTCCGCTTCCTCTAAAACAAGGAAGGCTCTGCGGGAGAGGCCGGAGCTGCCGTTGGGGTGGGAATGCTGCTGTGGGGAATGTTGGGATAGAGAGGATGACCCCCAACCCAGCTCCAGCCCCTTTTTCCCAGCTCCTGGAGGGTGAAGGGGCAAAGGAGGAGCGTGGCACAGTGTCCCACCAGGGCGATGGGGACGCGAGTGTCCCCAGGCAATCCAGAGGATGGCACGTGGCTCCTGATCCCAGGATCGGGAGCTGTGCATCTCCAAGCCCCCAAGCTGCACAGGGAGGGCTCCGTCTCCTCCGTTCCCCCCCGGACTGGGAAGGGCTCACAAACCTCCCTCCATGGAATAAAAGCACCATTTCTCTTTGGGTCCGAGTATCCACGGAGCGGAGCCGGATGGCCCCAGGAAGCAGCAGCAGTGGTGGGGGGGATTCCCAAGGCCACGAGGTGCGGGCGGGGATCCCGCCCGGAGGGGGCTGCGGTGGCGAGGAAGGGACCGGGATGGGGCGGAGCAGCCTCGGGCACGGCATCCTGGTCGAGGTGAGGAGATAGAGTCCATTAAAAACCACTTCCTGCCAAATTCCTGTCGGGAGAGAGGAGAGGAATGGTGGGAGCGCCCTTCCCTCATCCCTCACGCTTCCAGGGATTCCCCAGCCTCCCACCTGTCTCAGTGGTGCCGGTCCCTGTCTCTGTCCCTGTCCCGATGCCGCTCGTGCTCCCGGCTCCGCTCCGGGAAATAATCCTCGTGCCGATCATCGCTGTGGAGCAGATCCCGGTGCCGCCGGCTGCTCTCGCGGGACCGGCTGGGAGAGCGCTCCCGGGATCGGTGCCTTTTCCTTTGGGAGAAGAGGAGACAAAACCCAAAGAGTGATTTTTTAGTCGCTCACCTGCAGGGAGGATCCCCTTCTCTGGATCCAGGGGAATACCTGGAGCTGCTGCTGGAGCTGCTGCTGTAGGATTTGGCCTCAATTCCATGCAGGCAATCCTTGAGGGAAGAGAGGAGGACGCGGCACCGCTCATCGCTGGCCACGCGCGACTGCTTGATGACAGCGATGGCTGTGAGCAGCGTCTCGATGGCGTTGCTGTAATCCCCTGAGGAGCAGAGCAGGGGGTCAGGAGCGGGAATCCATCCCGGGAAGGGGGACATGAGGGACACGGGAAGTACCTGCGCTGGCGCCGGACACCGCCTTGGAAATGGCGCTGCTGGAGATGGCGCGGTTGCGGTTCATGATCTCCTCAAACTCGCCTTCGCTCAAGGCCGGGATCGGCGGGCCCAGCTCCCGGCTGTCGGCAAAGTGGGAACGGGGGTTCAGCGGGATCCTCCCCGAGCATCCCAACCCCACTCCTGCCCAGCTCACCTGCTGTGGTTGTAGGGAGCCATGGCCTTGCCGTAGGTATCCGGAGGGGGTCCCAGGGCAGCGGTGGGCGGCGGGAAGAAGGCGGGATTGAGGTGCAGGGCAGGGGGCACAGCCCCCGGCGGGGGCACGGCCAGGGGCGGGGGCAGCCGGGGCGGCGGCGGCAGCAGGTGCTGGTAGGGAATTCCAGGAGGAGGCGGAGGGACTCCGAAAGCGGAGGAGAGGGGAGGCGGGGGGGGCATGGGAGGGGGGGGTAGCCCCATGAGGGGCAGCGCGGGGGGGCGGCTGAAGAAGGGCAGGACTGAGGGGGGCTTCTCCATGCGGGCGGGGGGCAGCGCATTCTCCGTCGGCGTCGCCCGGCCGTCCACCGCATCCACGGAATCCCGGGAGTGGGCCCGCGGCGGCACACCTGGAAGTGGCACGGGGGAAGAGCTGTGAGGTGCAGCTGGAGGGTGTTCTGGTCTCCGAGATCTCCTGCTCCTCCTCTTCCTCCCACCCCTGGAGGGCTGGAGGTGCCCAGAGGGAGATCCAGCCGGCCACACATAGCCTCCACTTCCATGTGTTTTTCCAAGATGGGCCCAGCTTTCCAGCAAGACCCCACACAGTGCCCTGGGGACAGGCAGGTCATAGGGACAGGAGCCAAAAGCCACAAGGAATGGTGAGAGATCCCCAAAGACATCCAAAGACCCGGAGAGCCTGAGATCCACACATGGATTTGGAGAGACCCAAGAGTGGAAGAACATGAGGGGAGAGAACTCAAGTGCTGACAGCAACGGAGCTGCTGCGCTGCTGCTAGAGGAAGGAAAACTCAGCATTCCGAGAGGGTCAAGGAGCCTTGCTCTATCCAAAGAGGCACTGAGGATGAGACAGAAGGGGTGTGACAGGAGCCACGGCTCCCAGCTGTGCCAAAAGGCTGCATGGGAGCTCCACTGTGCCCTGGGGGCAGCCGGAACTCTGCCCAGGGAACACTCCCTGCTCCACCAAAACTGCAGGGCAAGTTGGGACACAGCCTAAGCACCAAGCAGCCGATCCCCTCGAGCACCTGAGCCAAAGGAAGGGAGCGAAGCAACTCTGCTGGGAAGGGGGAGTTTTCCTTGCACAAAACATGCCAAGGGATCTACAACGACCAGAGCTGGCCAAGACCTCCTCGAACATGCTCCTGCCAGGACAATCCCTGCGGATCCCATCGCATCGCTGCGGAGTGAGGCCAGGACCACCTATTGCCATTGAGGGACGCCCACGGCCAGGCCCCAGCTGGAATATTCCTCCAGTGTTGGGCACCTTACCTCCGCAGGGATGGAAAAATTCTGGAGCAGATCCAGAGAGGAGCTACTAATAGATATGGAGGGTCTTAGCTATGCTGAGAGCCTGAAGAGCTTAAGCCCATTCAGTTTGGAGAGGAGGAGGAGGAGGCTACGAGGGATCTTCGCAGTGTGGGAGCACCTAAAAGGGGATCATAAAGACTCGGGTCAGGAGCTAATCCGGCTCAGGAATGGGAAAAACAACCCCCAGACGCTCCTGGCAAGGTTTCCCCCCATCCCGAGGGCTCGCTGGGCTGGACCTGGCAGCTGATCTGGGGGGATTTGGGATGTGTGTGAGATGGAACCCCCCGCCCGCCTCACACCGGCGCCGCACTCACGTTTGCGAGCCTGAGCCTCGAACTGCGACAGGTTCTGCCGGGTCGCCAGCCTCACCTCCACCTTGTCTCCATTCAGGATCTTTCCAGGAAGCAGCTCCAGGAGTTTATGGACTGAGTTCTCGGAGGCCACCACCACCTCCGCGTACCTGCGCGGGAGAGAGGGAGGTTGAGCCCTGAACCCGCGGCAGAGACCTCCCCCAGACCCTCCTCCTGATCCCATCCCACTGTTCCATGCCCCCTCCTCACTTTTCCATGCTCTTTGGGATGCTCCATGGATGCCCTATCCCAGGCAGGAAAAGCGCTGGCTTCTCCCTCACCCTCCACCAAACAATGCATGTGTGGCCATGAGGGCCTGGCTCCCATCATTCCCACCCAAAATTCCATTGGCTCTCACCCCTTGGATTGGCCATTGGCTCGGTTCTCCGCGAATTTCAGCTCCACCACGTCGTAGACTCCAATGGAGCGGATGGTCTGGATCAGCTGCTGGTCAGTCGTCCACTGAGGGCATAGGGAACAGGCTATGGCATCCATGTCTGTCCCCAGTGTCCCCTCACCCACCTGAGGAATGTCACCCCCAGACTTCCTTAGGGAACTTAAAATCATCCAGAACAAGCCTTGGGAATGGATAACAGCGACAAGTTCTCCTGACAAGACAGAGCTTCCCAAAACTGTTCCTGCATCCCTGAGCAGGATAAGGCAACTCAGGAGCAGCATCCCAAAGTCACAGCTTCCAGGGGACATCAGCAGATACCCCAGCCCAGCAGCTCCTCAGGGATACAAATCCCTTTTCCCTGAGGATCACAAAGCCAAGCCCAACTCACAGTCCAGCTCAGGATTGAGGGGGAGCAGGCCCCTCAAAATCCCTGCCACTCCCCTAGAGAGCCCAGCAGCCCCTCAGAGGTTCCCCAGGAATCCTGAATTTCCCAGGAAGATGAGCTCACCCAGGAGAAGCTCCCGACGTAGACGGCGGCCCTCTTGTTCCGGAGGCCGCTGTAGGTGTACAGGATGGCCGGGGGTTTGCTGTTGGGCTTGGGAGATGGCTCCTGACGGATCTCCGGAGGCGCTTCCGAGCTGCTGGAACGCTTTTCCTGGGGCTGGGAGCTGGCTGCTAACACGTCGTCGTAGAGATCCATCTGGTCAGCATTACTGAACTCCGGGTCCTGCTGGGAAAACGTCATGAGATCCTGCCTTGGGAAGGGCTTGGGAAGCCTTCTTTGCTCTTTCCAAACCTGCTGTCCCGATTCCCAAGCAGAATTTCCAAGCCGAGTTCAAAGGTTTAAGGCCCAAATCACTTGGTTTGGGTCTATGCACAGTTGGGAATTACAGCCACCCCTTGCCTGGGCAATCCCAAAAAACAGGATGATGGTCTCTG